CAGCGGCAGATCTGCCCAGGCCCCACACGAAAACATGGCGGGGCAAGCATATTGTCGAGGTTGGGGAATTTCTTAATGAAAAACAAGGGGCATTGGCTAACATAAAGAAAGAAAGACAGAAAGAAACAGAAAAGCTGAGTGCCCTGGCCAATGATGGAAATCTTTTAAAGCGTCTGACTGAGCCACGGAAACATGCATGAAGAAAATTACTTGCAAAAATTGCGGCAACAGCTGTATACAGAGTTTAATTAATGCTTCCAGAAGACGTGATTTCCTTCCGCCAAATCAATATAGAATTAATTAATGCTACCAGAAATTACATAGTCTCCATCGTCGAGGCGGATGGGGTCGAGGATGGCCCACCTCGTCACCCAAGCGGTGACGCAGGCAAGCCCATTGATGTCACATATCATGGCGGTCAGGATTCGTCTATGGCGGGGTTGGGAGTAAAGACCATCTTGGAGAAGAGGCGGCTGTCGTAGATCAGCGGGGGCAGGAGGATCTCAGCGGCCATGAAGGGGTGGAAGAGGCTGAGTGGACTATGACCGTCGTCGATGCAGACAAAGAGGGAAAGCCATCCGTAGCAACAACCAAGACAGGTCCTAACGGAGGGGATTGTGGTGAGCTTGAAGGAGCGGCATGCGGCGGGGCAGATCGAGCTTGCCTAAAGGGATGGGGTTGAGCCCGAAGGAGCGATGCATGTGGATCGAGCCTACAGTGGTACAACGCTTGATGGCGGTGGTGATGCAGCGCTTGGCTGGATCATCGATGTGGTCCATGAGCAGCGACGGCGACGGTGGCGTGAGCGCGGAATGCCATATCGGGCAAGTTCGTCGCGCACTCGCGTAGCACTTGAAGTCGTCAAGTACGTCGGCGATGCAGAAGACAAGCTCCGGTGGCAGGTTTGCACAGGCCTGGCACGATAACATGGGTGCCAAGGATTTTGGCGAGGTTGGGGAATTTCTTAATGAAAACGAGGGGCTTTTGCTCACTCAAACAAACAAAGGAAGGAAGAAATAAATAAATAGTAAGGCTATGTGCCCTAGCCATTGATGGAAATCTTTTAAAGCGTTTGACTGAGCCACGGAAACGTGCATGCAGAAAATTGCTTGCAGAAGTTGCGGTAACAGCTGTATATATAATTTAATTAATGCTTCCAGAAGTCGTGATTTCCTTTTGCCAAATCAATATAGAATTTACTTAATGCTGCCAGAAATTACGTAAAATACTCAAATGTTTTTCCTTGGTAAATCGTGATTTCTTACTCTCTTTTTTTGTTTTTGGTAAGTCGTGATTGCTTGAAAAATAGACATAGTAAACTCCTTCGATCCCGCGTTAGCTGGCTCAGATTTTGCTAATTTGTAGCGAAGGTTATACAGAATATTAATGTTGTTCAAAAATCACCAGATTTGCTTCCAACAAACAACTAAAATATTTTTCATATAACACTAAAGTGGCATGGACACTTAATTTTTGGCCAATGCTCGGTGTGGATAAGGAGGCTGACAGCAAGCATGGAGGAGAGACTCTACCAGAGAAACTTTCATGTTCATCATCGGGACCACCAACACTCAATTCATCATAAGGATCATCTTCTCTATCAATATCTTCACAAGCACCATCTCATCTTCAAACCCTAGATCATCCCTCTTGCTCAATCTTTGTATCAAAGTTCATATTGGTACCTATGAGTATTTTATGTGTTGATTACACGTTTGTAGTTGATGCATAGGAGAATTATTTGTGGAAAATTGTTATGTTCATATTGTTCTTCATATATTCATACCTACTGATCATTATCCATATGATGTCTTGTGAAATGATCCATTAGTTCTTGAGGACATGCGGAAAGTCTTATTGATATTAGTAATGTGAAGTAGATTACCATTCAATGTTTTGATTATATTTTGTGTTGTTCTTCCTCTAGTGGTGTTATAAGAATGTCAATTGCATGACGGTTCACCATATTGAGGCCTAGGGGAAGGAATTGTGGAATTGGTTTGTTGATTATTAGTTGCTGCAGAGATAGTAACCCAAACCACAGTTTATCAATATTATGTGACGGGTTGTTTTTTATCCAATTGTTTAATGGTGTGTTAAACTTATCTTGTTTACTTCAAATGTAGGGAACAGTGAATCAAATGAAAGGCCGACGATTCCACATGAATTAAATAAACTTCGAATGTAGTATACAAAAAACATGAACAAAACCCATTACCGACAGTAAAACATTACTTCCATGAATGTGGTTGGTGGTCCTTATCACTATCTCGCCAAGCTTCCTTAGTGACGCATCACTTTTTTCCAGATTAAGCATGGGCCCTTGCTCGGGTCTGGTAAACTCTTCTTTCAGTCATCGCTTAGAAAGTACCAGCCGATTGTGCTTTGTGGAGACCCAGAAATGACATCATCCATGAGGGGAATGCAAGGTGTTGACCTGCCAGTTTTCGGGTCATAGACCATGCCCCCATCACTACCTCTCCCATCGATTCAGTACACACAATCACCTTTGAGTCCCGAACACCTTCCGCATATATCGACATTGCATTGTTCCTCCCAACAAACACTGAGTGTCCCCTTAAGTCGGCCAAAACGTCCCAACATGGTCGGCGCTGGGAGTCATACCTCAGAACAAATATTTCGTCATGTTCTACACGGCAACGGCCCCGTTCTGGCAGCTGCAAACGAACCATGCGGGCTGCATTCCTCCAGATTTGGTATATGTTACCATCGCATGACACAAGGTTATTAGCACTAATGAAATTCGAGATTGTATTGGATGACGGGTCGAAGCTGGTGGAGGTGTCAAATAGTAGGTTGCTTCCTACAGATGACAACAATGTTTCTATAGTGGGTGACGTGTTTAGATCTGGTCATGTCCCGTGCATCTGGACGATCCGCTTGTTATGCACTACAAGATGTGCTAATGTGTGGCCCTCGAGGATGATAGGTTCCCGGCGCTGGTGCTGCGGCAGGCGGAGCACGTGGACTTCTCCAAACCGAGTGATGCAATTAACCATACAATTTCTATGGTAAAGCAAGTTGGCGATCTGGTCTCCTTCGGCGAGGCGGATGGGGTCGAGGATGACCCGCATCCTGGCCCTAGTGGTGATGTAGGCTAGCCTATTGATGTCACATATCATGGCGGCCAGGAAGTCGTCACTGGTGGGGCTGGGTTCAAAGACCATCTTGGAGACGAGGCGGCCATCGTAGATCAGCGGGGCCAGGAGGATCTTAGCGGCCATGATGGGGTGGAAGAGGCTAAGCAGACTATGACCACCGTCGATGCAGACAGAGAGGGCCAGCCATCCGCCGGAGCAGCCAAGACAGGTCCTAACCGAGGGGATTGTGGTGAGCTTGAAGGAGCAGCATGCGGTGGGGCAGAGCTTGCCTGAAGGGATGTTGTTGAGCTCAGAGGAGCTAAGCGTGAGGATCGAGGCTACAGTGGTATGATGCTTGATGGCGGTGGTGATGCAGCGCTTCGCTGGATCGTCGTTGTGGTCCAGGAGCAGCGACGGTGACGGTGGCGTGAGTGCGGAACGCCATATCGGGCAAGTTCTGTGCGCACTCGCGTAGCACTTGAGGTCGTCGAGTCCATCGGCGATGCAGCACACAAGCTCCGGCGGAAGATCTGCCAAGGCCCGACACGACAACATGGAGGGGCAAGCATATTGTCGAGGTTGGGGAATTTCTTAATGAAAAACGAGGTGCTTTCGCTCACACAAATAAAGAAAGGCAGAAAGAAACAGAGAAGCTGAGTGCCCTGGCCTATGATGGAAATCTTTTAAAGCGTCTGACTGAGCCATGGAAACGTGCATGCAGAAAATTACTTGTAGAAATTGCGGTAACAGCTGTATATATAATTTAATTAATGCTTCCAGAAGACGCGATTTCCTTCTGCCAAATCAATATAGAATTTAATTAATGCTTCTAGAAATTACGTATAATACTCAAATGTTTTTCCTTGGTAAATCGTTATTTCTTACTCTTTTTAGTTGTTTTTGGTAAGCCGTGATTTCTTGAAAATAAACATATACTACATCGGTCCCGCGTTACCTGGCTCAGATTATACTAAATAAGGATGTATCGAGACATGTTTAACTGTTGGATACATTTGTATCTTAACAAATCTAGATCAACTGATTTGGATGAAAGGTTGTACAAAATATTAATGTTGTTCAGAAATCACAGATTTGCTTCGAACAAACAACTAAGATAGTATTACTATATCACAAAAGTGGCACGGACACTTAAATTCGGCCAACGCTCGTTGTGTGAACACCGACGCGCTCGATCGTTGCAATGTGAGACTGATATGTCTCCAAATCGAGATTGTATTATATGGCGTGGCGAAGCTGGTGGCGGCGTCGAACAATAGGTTTCTTCCTACAGATAAAAACAATGTCTCTGTAGTGGCTAGTGCATTTAGATTTGGTCCTGTCCCGTGCATCTGGATGATCCGCTTGTTATGCACTACAGGATGTGCTAATGTGTGACCCTCGAGGATGATAGGTTCCTGCAGCGGTGATGCGGTAGGTGGGGCACGTGGACATATCTAAACCGAGTGAGATAGTAGACCATACCATTTATGTGGTAGAGGAGGTCGGCGATCTGGTCCCCATCATCGAGGCGGATGGGATCAAGGACATCCCACCTCCTGACCCCGGCGGTGACGCGGGCGAACCCATTGATGTCACATATCACAGCGGCTAGGAAGTCGTTTGTTGTGGGGTTGGGTGTAAAGACCATCTTGGAGACAAGACACCTGTCGTAGATAAGCGGGGGCAGGAGTATCTCAGCGGCCATGACGGGGTGGATGAGGCTGAGCAGACTATAACCATCGTCGACGCAGACAAAGAGGGAAAGCCATCCGCCGCAGCAACCAAGAGAGGTCCTAACCGAGGGGATTGTGGTAAGCTTGAAGGAGGGGAATGCGGCAGGGCCGAGCTTGCCTGAAGGGATGGGGTTGAGCCCAAGGGAGTGAAGCTTGAGGATCGAGGCTACAGTGGTACAACGATTGACGGCGTGGTGATGCAGCGCTTGGCGGGATCATCGTTGTGGTCCACGAGCAGCGAAGGCGAAGGCAGCGTGAGTGCGGAGCGCCATATCTGGAAAGTTCTCTGCGCACTCGCGTAGCACTTGAGGTCGTCAAGTTCGTCGGCGATGCGGCAGACAAGCTCCGGCGGCAGATCTGCCAAGGCCCGACAGGACAACATGCTCGGGGAAACAGATTGTTGAGGTTGGGGAATTTGTTAATGAAAAACGAGGTGCTTTCTCTCAAACAAAGAAAGAAATACAGAAAGAGCCAGAGAACCTGAGTGCCCTGGCATATCATGGAAATCTTTTAAAGCGTCTGACTGAGCCACGGAAATGTGCATGCAGAAAATTACTTGCAGAAATTGCGGTAACAGTTGTATATATTATTTAACTAATGCTTATAGAAGACGTGATTTCCTTCCGCCAAATCAATATAGAATTTATTTAACGCTTCTAGAAATTACGTATAACACTCAAATGTTTTTCCTTGGTAAATCGTGATTTCTAACTATTTTTTGTTGTTTTTGGTAAGCCGTGATTGCTTGAAAATAAACATATACTCCATCAGTCCCGCGTTAGCTGGCTGATATTATACTAAAGAAGGATGTATAGAGACATGTTTAAGTGTTGAATCCATTTGTATCTTATCAAAACTTGATCAACTAATTTGGATCGAAGGTTGTACAAAATATTAATGTTGTTCAGAAATCACAGATTTGCTTCAAACAAACAACTAAAATATTATTCCTATATCACAAAAGTGGCATGTACACTTAAATTCAGCCAACGCTCGTTGTTTGAACACTGACACGCTCGATCGTTGCAATGTGAGACTGATACGTCTCCAAATTGAGATTGTATTATATGGAGGGGTGAAGTTGGTGGCGGCGTCGAACAGTAGGTTCCTTCCTATACATAACAACAATGTCTCTATAGTGGCTCGTGCATTTAGATCTGGTCATGTCCCGTGCATCTGGATGAGCCGCTTGTTATGCACTACAGGATGTGCTAATGTGTGGCCCTCGAGAATGATAGGTTCCTGCAGCGGTGCTGCGGTAGGTGGAGCATGCGGACATCTCTAAACCGAGTGAGGCAGTAGAGCATGCGGACATTTCTGTGGTAGAGGAGGTCGGTGATCTGGTCTCTAGCGTCGAGGCGGATGGGGTCGAGGACGGCCCGCCTCCTGGTCCCAGTGGTTACGCAGGCAAACCCATTGATGTCACATATCACGGCGGCCAGGAAGTCGTCTTTGGTGGGGTTGGGAGTAAAGACCATCTTGGAGACGAGGCGCCTGTCGTAGATAAGCGGGGGCAGGAGGATCTCAGTGGCCATGACGGGTGGAAGAGGCTGAGCAGACTATGACCGTCGTTGATGCAGATAGAGAGGGAAAGCCATGCGCCGCGGCAACCAAGACATGTCCTAACTGAGGGGATTGTGATGAGCTTGAAGGAGCGGCATGCGGCGGGGCAGAGCTTGCCTGAAGGGATGGGGTTGACCTCGAAGGAGCAAAGTGTGAGGATCGAGGCTACAGTGGTACGATGCTTGATGGCGGTGGTGATGCAGCGCTTGGCTGGATCGTCGTTGTGGTCCACGAGCAGCAACGGTGACGGCGGCGTGAGTGCGGGACGCCATATCGGCCAAGTTCTCTGCGCACTCACGTAGCACTCGAGGTTGTCAAGTACGTCAGCGATGCGGCAGACAAGCTCCGGCGGCAGATCTGCCATGGCCCGGCACCACAACATGGCGGGGCAAGCATATTGTCGAGGTTGGGGAATTTCTTAATGAAAAAAGAGGTGCTTTCGCTCACACAAGGAAAGAAAGACATAAAGAAACAGACAAGATGAGTGCCCTGGTCAATGATGGAAATCTTTTAAAGCGTCTGACTGAGCCATGGAAACCTGCATGCAGAAAATTACTTGCAGAAATTGCGGTAACAACTGTATATATAATTTAACTAATGCTTTCAGAAGACGTGATTTCCTTCCGCCAAATCAATATAGAATTTAATTAATGCTTCTAGAAATTACGTATAATACTCAAATGTTTTTTACCTGGTAAATCGTGATTTCTTACTCTTTTTAGTTGATTTTGGTAAGCCATGATTGCTTGAAAATAAACATATACTCCATCGGACCCGCGTTAGCTGGCTGGTATTATACTAAATAAGGATGTATAGAGACACGTTTAAGTGTTGGATACATTTGTATCTTAACAAATCTAGATCAACTAATTTGGATCGAAGGTTGTACAAAATATTAATGTTGTTCAGAAATCACAGATTTGCTTCGAACAAACAACTAAGATAGTATTACTATATCACAAAAGTGGCTTGGACACTTAAATTCGGCCAACGCTCGTTGTGTGAACACCGGCGCGCTCGATCGTTGGAATGTGAGACTGATATGTCTCCAAATCGAGATTGTATTATCTGGCGGGGCGAAGCTGGTGGCGGCGTCGAACAGTAGGTTGCTTCCTACATATGACAACAATGTCTCTATGGTGGCTAGTGCATTTAGATCTGGTCCTGTCCCGTGCATCTGGATGATCCCCTTGTTATGCACTACAGGATGTGCTAATGTGTGGCCCTCGAGGATGATAGGTTCCTGCAGCGCTGATGCGGTAGGTGGAGCACATGGACATCTCTAAATCGAGTGAGACAGTAGACCATACCATTTATGTGGTAGAGCAGGTCGGCGATCTGGTCTCCATTATCAAGGCGGATGGGGTCGAGGACGGCCCACCTCCTGGACCCAGCGGTCACGCAGGCAAACCCATTGATGTCACATATCACAGCGGCCAGGAAGTCGTCTGTGGTGCGGTTGTGTGTATAGACCTTCTTGGAGACGAGGCACCTGTCGTAGATAAGCGGGGGCAGGAGGATCTCAGCGGCCATGACGGGGTGGAAGAGGCTGAGCAGACTATGACCATTGTCGATGCAGATAGAGAGGGAAAGCCATCCGCTGCAGCAACCAAGACAGGTCCTAACCGAGGGGATTGTGGTGAGCTTGAAGGAGCGGCATGCGGCGGGGTAGAGCTTGCCTGAAGGGATGGGTTGAGCCCAAGGGAGCGAAGCGTGAGGATCGAGGCTACAGTGGTACAGCGCTTGATGGCGTGCTTGGCTTGATCGTTGCTGTGGTCCACGAGCAGCGACAGCGACGCCGGCGTGAGCGCGGAACGCTATATCGGCCAAGTTCTCTGCGCACTCGCGTAGCACTAGAGGTCGTCAAGTCCGTCTGCGATGTGGCAGACAAGCTCCGGCGGAAGATATGCCAAGGCCCGGCACGAGAACATGGCGGGGCAAGCATATTATCGAGGTTGGGGAATTTCTTAATGAAAAACAAGGTGCTTTCCTTCACAGAAAGAAACAAAGACAGACAGAAGCAGAGAAGCTGAGTGCCCTGGCCTATGATGGAAATCTTTTAAAGCGTCTGACTGAGCCATTTAAAAGTGCATGCAAAAAATTACTTGCAGAAATTGAGGTAACAGCTCTATATATAATTTAATTACCGCTTACAGAAGACTTGATTTCCTTCCGCCAAATCAATAAAGAATTTAATTAATGCTTCTAGAAATTACGTATAACACTCAAATGTTTCTCCTTCGTAAATCGTGATTTCTTTCTCTTTTTTGTTGTTTTTGGTAAGCCGTGTTTGCTTGAAAATAAACATATACTCCATCAGTCCCGCGTTAGCTGGCTGATATTATACTAAAGAAGGATGTATAGAGACATGTTTAAGTGTTGGATCCATTTGTATCTTATCAAAACTTGATCAACTAATTTGGATCGAAGGTTGTACAAAATATTAATGTTGTTCAGAAATCACAGATTTGCTTCAAACAAACAACTAAAATATTATTCCTATATCACAAAAGTGGCATGTACACTTAAATTCGGCCAACGCTCGTTGTTTGAACACTGACACGCTCGATCATTGCAATGTGAGACTGATACGTCTCCAAATTGAGATTGTATTATATGGAGGGGTGAAGTTGGTGGCGGCGTCGAACAGTAGGTTCCTTCCTATAGATAACAACAATGTCTCTATAGTGGCTCGTGCATTTAGAGCTGGTCCTGTCCCGTGCATCTGGATGATCCGCTTGTTATGCACTACATGATGTGCTAATGTGTGGCCCTCGAGGATGACAGGTTCCTGCAGCGGTGCTGCGGTAGGTGGAGCACGTGGACATCTCTAAACCGAGTGAGGCAGTAGACCATACCATTTCTGTGGTAGAGGAGGTCGGTGATCTGGTCTCCATCGTTGAGGCGGATGGGGTCGAGGATGGCCCACCTCTTGGCCCCAGCAGTGACGCGGGCAAACCCATTGATGTCACATATCACGGCGGCCAGGAAGTCGTTTGTGGTGGGGTTGGGTGTAAAGACCATCTTAGAGACGAGGCACATGTCGTAGATAAGCGGGGGCAGGAGGATCTCAGCGGCCATGATGGGGTGGAAGAGGCTAAGCAGACTATGACCATCGTCAATGCAGACAAAGAGGGAAAGCCATCCGCCGCAGCAACCAAGACAAGTCCTAACCGAGGGATTATGGTGATCTTGCAGGAGAGGCATGCGGCGGGGCAGAGCTTGCCTGAAGGGATGGGGGGAGCCCGCAGGAGCGAAGCATGAGGATCGAGGTTACAGTGGCAACGCTGGATGGCAGAGTTGATGCAACGCTTGGCTGGATCGTCGTTGTGGGCCACGAGCAGCGACGACGACGGTGGCGTGAGTGCGGAACGCCATAGCGGGAAAGTGCTCTGCGCACTCGCGTAGCACTTCAGGTCATCAAGTCCGTCCACGATGCGGCAGACAAGATTCAGCGGCAGATCTGCCCAGGCCCCACACGAAAACATGGCGGGGCAAGCATATTGTCGAGGTTGGGGAATTTCTTAATGAAAAACTAGGGGCATTGGCTGACATAAAGAAAGAAAGACTGAAAGAAACAGAAAAGCTGAGTGCCCTGGCCAATGATGGAAATCTTTTAAAGCGTCTGACTGAGCCACGGAAACATGCATGCAGAAAATTACTTGCAAAAGTTACGGCAACAGCTATATATACAGTTTAATTAATGCTTCCAGAAGACGTGATGTCCTTCCGCCAAATCAATATAGAATTAATTAATGCTACCAGAAATTACATAGTCTCCATCGTCGAGGCGGATGGGGTCGAGGATGGCCCACCTCCTCACCAAAGCGGTGACGCAGGCAAGCCCATTGATGTCACATATCATTGCGGCCAGGATTCGTCTATGGCGGGATTGGGTGTAAAGACCATTGAGGGAGTCCTGGACTAGGGGGTGTCCGGATAGCCTAACTATCGTCATCGGCCGGACTCCAAGACTATGAAGATACAAGATTGAAGACTTCGTCCCGTGTCCGGATGGGACTTTCCTTGGCGTGGAAGGCAAGCTTGGCGATACGGATATGTAGATCTCCTACCATTGTAACCGACTCTGTGTAGCCCTAGCCCTCTCCGGTGTCTATATAAACCGGATGGCTTTAGTCCGTAGGACGAACAACAATCATACCATAGGCTAGCTTCTAGGGTTTAGCCTCGTTGATCTCGTGGTAGATCTACTCTTGTAACACACATCATCAATATTAATCAAGCAGGACGTAGGGTTTTACCTCCATCAAGAGGGCCCGAACCTGGGTAAAACATCGTGTCCCTTGTCTCCTGTTACCATCCGCCTAGACGCATAGTTCAGGACCCCCTACCCGAGATCCGCCGGTTTTGACACTGACATTGGTGTTTTCATTGAGAGTTCCTCTGTGTCGTCACCGATAGGCTCGATGGCTTCTTCGATCATCAACAATGACGCAGTCCAGGGTGAGACCTTCCTCCCCGGACAGATCTTCATATTCGGCAGCTCTGCACTGCGGGCCAATTCGCTTGGCCATCTGGAGCAGATCAAAAGCTACGCCCCTGGCCGTCAGGTCAGATTTGGAAGTTTGAACTTCACGGCTGACATCCGCGGGGACTTGATCTTCGATGGATTCGAGCCACAGCCAAGTGCGCCGCACTGTCACGACGGGTATGATTTAGCTCTACAGCCGGACAGTACCCTAGAGGCCGCACTCGAGCCCGCTCCAATCTTCAATTCGGAGCCGGCTGCGCAGATCAAGGATGGATGGCTAGACACCGCCTCGGGGGATGCAACCTCTACGGCGATAGAGCCGAACACTGACCTTGTCCCTCATCAAGATCGTCACTCCGAGGTGTCGGACTCCTTGCCGGACGCCGAACCTCCCACGCCCCCTCCAATCAAATCCGATTGGGCGCCGGTCAGGGAGTTCACCGCTTCGGACATCTTTCAACACTCACCTTTCAGCGACATCTTGAGTTTGCTAAAGTATCTCTTGTTATCAGGAGAGCCCTGGCCGGACTACGGCCAGGACGGTTGGGATGCGGACGACGAAGAAATTCAAAGCCCACCCACCACCCACTTAGTAGCCACTGTCGACGATCTAACCGACATGCTAGACTACGACTCCGAAGACATCGACGGTATGGACGACGATGCCGGAGACGACCAAGAACAAACGCCTACCGGGCACTGAAAAGCCACCTCATCATATGACATATACATGGTGGATATCCCAAAGGATGGGAATTGCAAAGGAACAACAGAGGATGACCCCTCCAAGAAACAGCCCAAGCGCCAGCGTCAGCGGCCGCTCTAAATCCCGCCACAACAAGAATGAAGATTCCGGCACCGGAGATAATAACACCCCAGACAGTGCCGAAGACAACCCACTCCAGCAAGATTCAGCACAGGAGGACGAAGACGCCATCTGTCGGTGTCAAAACCGGCGGATCTCGGGTAGGGGGTCCCGAACTGTGCGTCTAGGCGGATGGTAACAGGAGACAAGGGACACGATGTTTTACCCAGGTTCGGGCCCTCTTGATGGAGGTAAAACCCTACGTCCTGCTTGATTGATATTGATATTGTGGATGTTTACAAGAGTGGATCTACCACGAGATCAAGGAGGCTAAACCCTAGAAGCTAGCCTATGGTATGATTATTGTTGTATGATTGTCCTACGGACTAGAGCCATCCGGTTTATATAGACACCGGAGAGGGCTAGGGTTACATAGAGTCGGTTACAATGGTAGGAGATCTACATATCCGTATTGCCAAGCTTGCCTTCCACGCCAAGGAAAGTCCTATCCGGACACGGGGCGAAGTCTTCAATCTTGTATCTTCATAGTCTTGGAGTCCGGTCGATGATGATAGTCCGGCCGATGATAGTTCGGCTGATGATGGTAGTCCGGCTATCCGGACACCCCCTAATACGGGACTCCCTTAGTAGCCCCTGAACCAGGCTTCAATGACGATAAGTCCGGTGCGTATATTGCTTGGCATTGCAAGGTGGGTTCCTCCTCCGAATGATAGAAGATTGTGAACACCAGAATAGTGTCCGGCTCTGCAAAATAAATTCCACATTTCACCGTAGAGAGAATAATATATACACAAGTTCAATCTGCTGACTTTTTTTTCGCGGCATGACGTCACGCCACTACCAAGCCATTACTTGAATCATTTTTTACTCTACCACCTCAGCGCATTTAGCGAAGCGGTTTCCTTGGCACGTCTTGTCGAAGCAGAGATCGTGTTTCCCCTTAATCCGGGATTCTCATCAATACAGACGTGGGTAACCCAACCGCGCCCGTCGCCACGCCCCCTCTATCGAAGGCGAGTCCCACACGGTCACGGAGACGGCTCTTGGTATTCTACCTCTTTATAACGGGACCAAGGCTCGTTTTGTTTCTTCAATCCTCCATCGAATCCTCTCCCCACTCCAAGTTCCAGCACCTAGAGCTCCAGATTCGAGCGCTTCGGACCTTCGATGATGTCCGGTTCCGGCCTCCAGGGCCGGTGGATGCCCTCCTCCGTCACGAAGGAGGACGTGCTAAAGCTGCGGGAGGCCAAGTACCTGGCTTGTGAGATTTCACACAGGTTGCCCGCCGAAGGGTAGGCCATCCCCACCCCCGAGCCCGGCGAGTATGTCGTCTTTGTATCCCACCTCCGTCGGGGTTTAGGCTTCCCGATGGATCCCTTTGTGAGAGGGCTCCTGTTTTACTATGGGTTGGAATTCCACGATTTGGCTCCGGAGTCCATCCTCCATATTTCTGCATTCATTGTTGTCTGCGAAGCCTTCCTTCGCGTCGCCCCTCACTTCGGCCTGTGGCTGAAGACCTTCAATGTGGCGCCGAAGATGATCGGGGGGCGTCAAGCGAAGTGCGGCGGGGCGGCCATAAGTAGGAGGGCCGATGCCCCGTGGCCCGCTGGCTCCTTCCAAGAGGAGCTCGGCTTATGGCAGCAAGAGTGGTTCTATATTACCGTTCCGAGGGGCCGCAGACAAAAGCCGCCGCCCTTATTCCGCTCGGGACCTCCACGACGATTGATGTCGTGGGTCAACCGAGGGCTCGACTGGGGGTCGTCAAAGGACGTGCCCCTACTGCAGGGCCGGATTCGAGATCTCCAAACGAGGGAGGTCGATATGGTGGTTGTAATTCAGGTTATGCTGATTAGGCGTCTCCTGCCCTGCAAACGCCGCCCTCTCCGGCTGTGGGAGTTCAATCCAGAGGGCCCACAGATTCTTCAACACTTCATGGGTATTGAGGGAGTCCCGGATTAGGGGGTGTCCGGATAGCCGGACTACCATCATCAGCCGAACTATCATCGGCCGGACTATCATCATCGACCGGACTCCAAGACTATGAAGATACAAAATTGAAGACTTCGCCCCGTGTCCGGATGGGACTTTCCTTGGCGTGGAAGGCAAGCTTGGCGATACGGATATGTAGATCTCCTACCATTGTAACCGTCTGTATGTAACCCTAGCCCTCTCCAGTGTCTATATAAACCGGATGGCTCTAGTCCGTAGAACAATCATACAACAACAATCATACCATAGGCTAGCTTCTAGGGTTTAGCCTCCTTGATCTCGTGGTAGATCCACTCTTGTAAACATCCACAATATCAATATCAATCAAGCAAGACGTAGGGTTTTACCTCCATCAAGAGGGCCCGAACCTGGGTAAAACATCGTGTCCCTTGTCTCCTATTACCATCCGCCTAGACGCACAGTTTGGGACCCCCTACCCGAGATCCGCCGGTTTTGACACCGACATTGGTGCTTTCATTGAGAGTTCCTCTGTGTCGTCATCGATAGGCTTGATGGCCTCTTCAATCTACAACGACGCAGTCCTGGGTGAGACTTTTCTCCCCGGACAGATCTTCATATTCGGCGGCTTCGTACTGCGGGCCAACTCACTTGGCCATCTGGAGCAGATCAAAAGCTACGCCCCTGGCCGTCAGGTCAGGTTTGGGAGCCTAAACATCACGGCCGATATCCGCGGGGACTTGATCTTCGACGGGTCTGAGCCACAGCCGAGCGAGCCGCGCTGTCACGATGGGCATGACCTAACTCTGCCGCCGG